GGGGGGGGGGGGGGGGAGCGGGCAAAGTGGGAGATGAAGATGAGGGATGATTGCTGCGTGAAGCGGTTGTGCGATCGCATCAAGCGTCCATGCCACATTCACATCAATGGCAAACGGCAGTGACGACTCCTGTCCAAACTGCGAAGAGCCGACTTGATGCCCCGGGTGACCCTGCTGGTTGCTCAATCCACCTGATCGTTTGCTGGCTTGTAGACCGCCACCATGGCGACCTTGCTAGATGAGAAGAATCAGTGCGGACAGACGCTCCTGCGCATGGTTTGTGCCGACAACCGCGCACCGTGTGTGCCGCTCCGTCCCCGCGCAGTCAATGGCCATCCACTGATCTTTCTGTTGCTGGGTTGTTGTTCCTGCCCATGCACTGCTAGACCTCGCGAGGAAATGCCATCGTGGCTGAACTCCTGCGTCTGGCCGACAACGTACCAGAGCCGTACTTGTTGCGCAGCGCATCCAGCCGGGCCAAGTATGAGCAGATTGTCCTCGACTTTGCCTACTTTCAGCGCATTGAGGTTGGATCAACCAATCGACCTGAACCGACCAGCCTTATGCATGCTCCGCCCAGCCCCGGCCCCGACCCTAAACTTTGTCTATCTGTCTGTTTGTCCGTCTGTCCGTCTGTCCGACTCAGTACTTTGATAACAAGATTGATACCAACCCTGACCTTCAAGATGTGGACGAGCAACTCCGTGCCAGCTACATGCCCGTGCTCACCCGCTTCTACAACGCCTTTGAGAGCGTGTACAAATATGTCACTGACATAATCAAGTGCGTTTCACTCCTAACCCGGGCTTCCTTTTCTTGTAGTTTCTGCTCTGCCCCCCTGCCTCACCGTTGGTCGCCACTGCACACGCCTTGCAGATTCCTCGAAGACGTTGACGAGGGTGTCTACATCTACCAGACCATGGAAAATATTCTGGCTGACAAACACGGCAAACAACTCATGGCCGAGGTGCGACCGATGCCCAGGCCCTCACTCTTCAGGACGGCAGCCATGCGATGCGGCCGCATTGGCATCACAAGTGCCGAGCATGCTGCTTGGCAGACTGCTCAACTTTTGTACTGTGGTTTAGATGCTTTACCTGTATGGCTGCATGCTGCTCCTGGTTGACATGCGCATCCCCGGTCTCGTCCGCGAACGCATGATTGTCGCATACCAACGGTACTGGTACGTGCGCAGCGGCATGCCCGCTCAGCCACAGCCGATGCTGTCATCTCCAGTCATGCCTTGCAAACACTCACTGCCCCGGTGTTTTGAAAACAATCGTCTCATTCCAGCCTGAATGAAGCTGACATGACCAACGTCGAGGCCGTCATCAAACTCTTCCGCTCTACCGGCTACTCGCATGCCCCCGGCGCCAAGGTATTATTTTCCCTCACACACACACACACACACACATATATATTCTGCGACCTTTACTCATGACCGTCAACCCATGCCTCGCTTTCCCCACGCTCTCTGTGCTGAATCCTTCCACCTCCTCTCCACAGCGACCAGCCAAATATCCAGAAGAGTACCTGGCCCGCGTGGAACTGCCTTCTTACTTTGTACAGATGGTCATCGGGTACGCCCTTGAACCCTCGATCCCACACCCCGATTGGAATGACCGCACGCATACCTACAATTCACCGTCTGCCTGTTCATCGCCTCAACGTTCCTTTTTTTTTTTTTTTTTTTTTTTTTTTTTTTTCGCGCAGGCGCCTGCGAACGGATGACATCTATCAGCAAATGACCGTCTATCCCGAACCCGAACACCGGAGTGCTGCTCTGGCTTCTCAAGCTGCCATGCTTTACGTGATTTTGTACTTCGAGCCCACGGCCCTGCACCGCGAGCCGGCCAAGATGCGTGAGATTGTCGATAAGCACTTTCCTGACAATTGGGTCATCAACCTCTACATGGGTACCATTGTCAACCTGGCCGAGGCCTGGGAACCCTACAAGGTCGGCACGGTGCTGTCCACGTAGCCTGACCCTATCGCTCTTGTTGGTCGTGCTCACGCCTCCAATCTTGCGCCTTTCCGTTCATAGGCCGCTTCGGCCGCTTTGAACAACACGCTCGAGTCCAGCAACGTTCAATTGCAAGCGGGACGCTACCTTGAAGCGCTACCCAAGCTCACCAAGCAAGCCGCCGGACTCTTGAAGGAGGGCGTGCTTGTAGAAGGTGTGTGGATTGCGAGCCGTGTTCGCGCCGTGTAACCTGCGCAGTGCTCCAGCTGTCAGCATCGCAAACATGATGGCTTTGCCCGATTTAGAATATGTCCTTGACAACACATCAAAGTTGATGCGCGTTATGCGCAAGGTGGGTGGCTAGGGCCAGCTTTTACACCCATTGCATTGGATTCTGGCCCGTGTTTTGCTCACCGCGCTTGCCGTGGCGGGTTGTAGATCAACGTGACCCTGCGCTGGCTGATCCTGCACACGCACAACGACGCCCGCACGCAACAACACCGCCGCGTTCAAGCTGCTCGTGAAGAGATTATCAAACTCGGGTACAGAATCCCATGCCCAATGCACACCAAACTGCTCAAGTGGCGCGACGACCATGATCTGACCTTGCTTTGCCTGCTTACCTTCCTAGCTTTGATGCCAAGCCAGTTTTTGATCTGCTCTTGAGCTGTGCTCAGTACGAGTTTCTGCTCAAGGAAATGTTCAATAGTCTGCTCGAGCAAAAGCAAGATCGCTGGGATGGCTTGAAGAAGGAGGGTCAGTCTTTTGCTCGAATTGACCCGTTTTGCAACCAGACGCACTCAGATGCCTTACCTGCTTCCCCCATTCATGCTTTGGCGCTTCTCAGCGAGTGACCGCATGAACGAGCTCTCGGATGTCTTTGGCGGCACAACCCCGCTTACGCGTGTCGAGGTCAACACCCAACTGCGCGGTACGCTCCGGCTCTTGCTGCATCGCCTCTCAATGTTAGCATAGACTTGCCATGCTTGCCGGGGCTGAAACTCATCCGCCTTCAACCACAATACATATGGGTGTAGACTGGTTCAAGAACATGGGCTCGCAGATTGCTAGCCTCGATTACAGTGACTCAACCGCTGCCGGTCGCAAGATTATGCAGCTCTTTCAAGCCTTGGAGGAGGTGCAAAGCTTCCACCAGCTTGAATCGAGTCTGCAAGTGCGCCAATTTCTCAAAGAAACGCAGTCCTCCTTGCAACAGGTGTGTCGGTCGCATTCACACCGCAGTCACGTGCCATCTGCAGCGCTGCACACTGACACCCGGCACGGTTTAGATGATTCGCACCATCAACATCAAGGATGAATTCCTCAGTGTCATCAGCGACGTGGCCGACCTGTCTTATGCTTGGGAGATTATCGACAACTACACCGGCTACATGCAAGCTGGCATCAAGCAGGACCCCACGCTCGTGATCAAGTTGCGTGCCACTTTCCTCAAGTTGGCCTCGGCGATGGAACTGCCTGTCCTGCGCATTCATCAGGCGGACTCTCCCGATCTCTTTTCCGTCTCGCAATTTTATTCATCCGAGCTTGTCAGCTACGTGCGCCGCGTAAGTCTTCCTGGACGTCGTAGACCAGACTTGACATCGACCCACTGCGCCCACACGCGAATCTGACTCTTGGGCCCTGTGAACTGGTTTGCAGGTGTTGCAAATTATTCCACGTAGCATGTTTGAAATCTTGGCCAAGGTGATTGCTATCCGCACGCGGCAGCTCAAGGAAGTGCCGACGCGCCTCGAGAAGGACCAGCTCAAGGAGTATGCGCAGCTTGATTTGCGCTACGAAATTGCCGAGCTGACCTATCAAATCTCGGTCTTCACCGAAGGCATTCTCATGATGAAGTCCACCCTCGTGGGTGTGATCAAGGTACGGCTGCGACACGCGCGCACACACCTGGACTAAACCATCGCCCTGACCCGTGCCCCCCGCACCCATAGATTGATCCCAAGCAGTTGCTTGAGGATGGTATCCGCCGCGAGTTGGTCACACAAGTAGCTAGGGCTCTGGACGAAGTGGTGACCTTTGAGCAAGTGAAGGTGAGAGATGAAACTTCAAATGCCTCGAGTCGCTGCCAGTCGCGCGCTTGCATCAATCTCCACGACTGGTTGGCACTCATCCTGTTTTGTGTCATTACTTTTCCTCTTGCTGGCTCGGGCGCAGGGCAAGATGACTGACTTGCACGAAATGCTTCAAGTGCTGCGCCACCGCATGCTGGGCTTCCGCCGCTCTTTCGAGTATATCCAGGTACAGTACAGGAGATGTTGGGCTTTGGATTTGCAAGCCTAACATTTCTAGCACCCAGTGATTGTGAGATCGCTATGCACGGCCATCAGATCTGCAATTTACAGTTGTGGGGTCACCTCGTAGGACTACGTGGACATTTACGGGTTGCGCATCTGGCAAGAAGAGGTGTCTCGCATCGTCAATTACAACGTGGAACAGGAGTGCAATGCGTTCTTGCGGGAACAGGTTTGACGTTGTGCCCATATCGTCTTTGGCCTTTCATCTCGTTCCCGCTGCTTTGATGTGGCACTGCCACTTGAACCGCTCTCACCCCGGCTTGGCTTAAAAATTTGACTCGCTACAGATTACAGACGAAGAATCCATCTACCAGAGTCGCGCGATTCCCATCCCCCGTTTTCAGCCACGGGACAACATGTCCATGAACTTTGTGGGGCGCCTGGCACGCGAACTCCTTCGTCTCACCAACCCATCCACCACCCTTTACCTTGAGCGTAACACAACGTGGTATGACATCAAGACCAAGTCGGAAATTGTGCATGCCGACACCTTTCAGCGCCTGCTGGTAAGTTTGCTTCAACCAAGGCCTCGTTACACCTACCGCCTGGTGTTGACGTCATCCAGCAGACATATCCGTGCCTGCGACGCTGGATGGCTTTCAACGTGCTCAACTTTTCGTGCTTTGGGGGAATGCAGGAGGCCCTTGATACCTTTGGACTCGCAGGCCTTGACAAATTGTTCTGCTTCATGATTGTGCACGAGTTGCAACGATTTGAGCGCACCTGGCAGCGCCAACTAAAGCAGATTGTGCCTGCTCTTAAGAGCTTGTCGACAACGCTGCAGCCCTTGGCTGCGCCGCCGGCCACAACAGCCGTCTACGCCACCGGCATTCAGCAGCTGAGCAAAGTGTTCCCCTTTATTGCCAATGTGGTCTTCAAGGTCTGTTCAACTTTGGCGTGACTTATGATGGTCGCTTCTGGCGGCCCTGTTGCAACGATCTGCCAGAATGTCAGGACCACGGCTTGAATATACTCATGGCCGATTCTCGCCTATAGGTGGGCCATATTCAGTTGCTGCGCCGCATGATTGCAACGCAGCTGAACAGTGCTGCCAAATTCGATGGCAAGCTACTTTTGGCGTAAGTCTTAAACCTACGATCATGTGTCGACGCCGTGGTGTCGGTTGACCCATTGCTTCGCCTTTGCTCCGCACGCTATGCAGGTCGGTCAAGTCTGTGAATCAGGCTTTGTTGGCTGAAATTGAAACCCACTACCGTGACCCCAGCAAGCCCTTCCCTGGTATGTGCTTTGCCTCCTGGCAGACTAACTTCTCCCACCGTGCCTGTATTGAAACCGCCACGTCGCTCATGTAGCTCGATCACGCCCTCGTAGGTGGAGACACGCTGTTGCTGCCCGAGCTCTCGGCTTACTCCGAGGCCGTGGGTGTGGCTGACCCTCTGCAAAAGATCTACGTCACCACAACCAAGCTGGATGAGATTGCTTCCCTGTTGTTTTTCTTTTCGTTATCACAGGTAGGCACAGGTATTTTGTATGGAAATACCACGCGGTGGTGCGTATACATTCGTAGCTTGCTCACCTGTTGCTCTTGCGTGCTGTAGCTGCAACGATTTTCGTTTGCGCGCCAACTGGGCACGCTGGTATCGCGGAAGCAGGGCGATGACGTGGACGGAACTGTGTTCATTGCGGGGCTGATTACCCTGCTGCGACAGTTTCACGTATCCCATCAGCTTTCTTTCCAGGGCATGTTCGCTCAGCATGTCCGCGCGCAGATCCAGACGGTGGATCCGAAGGTAAGCGCCCCTCACGCCGTGACTGTCGTCGTGTTTTTTTATGCACCCGCCCACTCATTTTTGATCAATCGCACATTCCATTTTTAAAGAGCCCGACTCTATCAGCGGATGCCATCAACTCTCTGGTGTTTTTGGAAGAAATGGCACAATACTGCAAGGTTCGTTTTTGGCGCTGAAACCCAACTCCTCCTCGCACGCATACGTCAACTTGAGTGGCTCTGTCCTTGTAACGCTCCAACTGTGCTCCAATGTGTAGACGTCTCGTGCAACCTTGATGACCAACTTACCTCCATATATTGTGGATGAGTTCCGTCGTCAGACACAGTAAAAGTCGTGTAGTTTGGAAGTATCCTTGCCACGACATGCCGTCTCTTGCCCAACGTTGCTTAGGACTATTTGTTTTTGCTATTCTCGTGTTTTGAAGATGTAAGCCTCTGGTAAACATGTGGCTATCATGGGGTGGTTTTTTTTTTTTCCTTGTTGTTCCCGCTTTTTTTTATCGCGCTTTGTTTGCGATTAGATGGGTGGTTAGTCACACGCAAACTTCCTGGCAATTTGCAATTGATTGAAGTCTGAAATGACTAAGTCAAGCGTCGAGACAAAACTATGAACTTTTGTTTTGCTGGTGGCTGAGATTCCTAGGCTGGCTCAGTTGGTCTTCCAGAGGGTGTAGAACAGCCACATCTCGTGGAACGACGGGACACAGACTGATTCCTGCGGGCAGCGGGTGGTGAGCAACGAAGGTTAAGGCTTGCATGGAGGCACCGACAAAATGAAGGGCAAGCAAACCTTGGTAAAGTCGAGGCCGGCGGGATGAGCATGAACAATGTCCTCGTAGCAGCGCGTGGCGGCAGGCATGTTGGCACTGCCACCTTGAGTAAGATATTTGCCGTGTGGTGCCAAGAGAGGCATGGCCCGATTGAGGACGATCTGCAAAAACTCCCAATCACTACCTGTGGTTGTCAAGAGCCAGAATGGATGATCGTCAGTCAAAATGCCCCAGGGCCGGTGAAGCAGAGACCGTGGTGATGAAAAAAAAAAGATCCGGTCTAGCTTTGCATTGGAGCGGCTTGGCACACCTGCGAGCGACGTTGAGACTGGGACTGCAGTGAGGTCGTTGATGATGTAATCAAATTGCATGCCTACATGGGTGATCAGAGATGAGTGAGTTGTGGCTATTCAAGCAGACCGTGGACGAGAACACGGGGGCTAGGATTGCATACCTTGGGCCTGCAATGTGTCCATTTCACCCAGACAATCCTTCACGCGAATCTACAAGAACAAGGGTAGAGTGAAGAAATGTGAGAGGCAACTCCGTGTCTTGAGTGCCTTTGTTTCGGGGAACGAATGATACCTCGTAGTTGGGACCGGTGAGGTTATCCATGCTATCGAAGCAGATGCCTCGCAGGTGCTTGCGGGCCGCATTGATGACCACCTGGGGCGATACAGCGGAGAATGAGATTTAATGAAATTCAAGACAAAGAATGAAAAAGGCGAGATGTTCAAGCCTAAAAGTTGCCGGGCCCGCCAGGGGACAGGCTGGCGAATGGTATTGGGCTGACCTCGTCAATCTCAATCATGATGACGTTGGCTGGATTGAGCTTAAGAATCTGATGCAGCACACCACCATCTCCTGCGCCGAGGACGAGGACGGATTTGCCCTCAAAGTTGAAGCGACCGCTTCCAAGGATGGCCTGTGTGTAAGCCAAGTCGGACTCGGCAAGGTTAGGGTCGTCGTCCAGGAGAAGCATGTTTCCAAACTGGCGTGAGTGGTAGATTTTGACATCCTAGGGTGGAGGGGAAGCAATGAATTTGACGTGAGGGCGGTGCTTGCGTCGCGTCAGAGCGTGCATCAAGGGGCAAGAGCAGATGGAAGGGCGACCGACTTGGTAGGGCGACTTTTCGTGAAAGACGAGTTCGTCAAAGTCGTACTGAATCCAAAGGCCATCCGAGGAGGGCACGACGGTGGGAAAAGATCCACCACGGACGACGGGCGGGTAGAGGGTGGTGGCATCCAGGTGTTGGACGGGGGCAGCCTTGAGCGATTCGGTGGCAGTAGCGCGGACGCGCTCGAGGGCATCGGTCAAATCCGGGGCGGCTTCGCCGGCAGCCAGGCTGAGAGAAATGTCAGCAGTGACGGTTTCTTCAAAAGCTTTGATTTGCACCGAATGGGGGCTGTTCGGGCTCGTCAGGAGAGCCAGCGCGCTTTTGGGGCCCTGGGCCTGAAAGAAACTAATGTCAGTGCCTGGGAGCTGGGCATCATCAATGAAGATTTGGGCCACCGCACGAACGAGGTCTTCAGGAGACTGGGTGAAGCCAGGAAAGTGGAGGTCCAAGAGAACGGAATGCATGCGGGCAGCAACCTCTTGTGCAGCGAGCACGGGAGGCTGGTGCTGGAAACGCAAGAGGGGCTGTTCTGTTGCGGGGGCGGCTGTCGTCGACATGCTTGCGGTGTGTGTGGCAAAGGACGCGGCGGACAGTGGGCAGGACGAGCGGGGCGAGCGAAGATGAGCCGCAAGGCGTGAACCGGAGACTGCACAGGAAGTATGACCGCGCTGCAGGCTTGAAACCCACAACTTGTTCTAAGAGCAGACATATTCATCCAAAAGGAGGGAAGGGAAGCATGAGCTGGAAGGTGAGCCCTTTGAAGTCCGTGGCGCTAGAGGCCGAGCAGAAGCCCTCGAAACGAATCGCACCGGCACAATGAACCTCGAAAGACGCATTTGATGGCGGTGGCACAGCAAGCGGCAGCGCGTCCAGCCAAATGGGTCTGAACTACGTTAAGGCCTACATAGAAGACAAAGCAGCCAAGCGTTCAAGCAAGCCCGCGAGGCAAGAGTGAGCGCTGCCATCCGTCGCCGGAACGAGAATTTTTTTTTTTTTTTTAAATTTCCTGCGTCCGAAAGAGCTCCGGCAGCCATGATGGTTGAAGCCAGCCCAACAACCCCGCTACCCGTTTCCTTCCTCCCCTACCCCCGCCCCACAACACCCAGGCAATGCCCATGACCCAGCACCCAGCCCTCGACGTCTCAACCCTTCGACACGCACCTCACGGAGATGTCAACTGCACTCACAGCGTTTCTTGATAGCCGCCACTGACATGTGCGCAAATGCAAACTCTCTCTCTCTCTCTCTCTCTCTCTCTCTCTCTCTCATTTGCTCTCAAACTCTCTCATTTGCTCTCATTTTCGCTCAACTCTCTCAACCTCTACAAGTTTCCTTAAGTGTCTGGAACAAATCTCTGTAAGTTTCTCTCAAACCTCTCAAACTCACTCAAGACTCTCTTCAAACTCTCCCTCTCTTTCTCTGCACATCGCGACAGTGCCGAGGGGCGTGGCACATGGATCAATTTCGCCAGCAGACAAAGGAGACCAGAAGAATGAGGGCCAGAAGGAGGCGTCAAGACCGCTTGCAACGGTCGACTCGAAACTGAAGCACACAGCGGCTGGACACAGCAAGGGAAGCACATGGGGCGCAGAGGTTGCGGATGGAAGAGGTACACACAGTACAAGTGCCACAACAATGTCGGGGAAAAAAAAAAAAAAAAAAGCAGACACGCGGACCGGATTTGTCAAACAGAAACAAGCTGATTTACCAGCAGCTGGGCACGCCAAGCAAAGAGCGAGAGCTACGGTCGCAATTTGGCCGCAGGGTCATGTCCCGGCTTATTGCTGCTTCTTCTGCTTCTTCTGGCCGTCCTTCTTGCCGTAAGTCTTGCGGTCAAAGTTGGTAAACAGGGCCAGAAGAGAAATGATGTAGAACAGGTACATGATGGTCACGTTCTTGGGGAACGCACAGCCCTGGCTCAGGAGGATGGCCGCCTATGCAGGAGAAACAGGTGAACAGAAGCCACGTAGCAAGCCCAAGTGGGATCGGGGTAGGGATTGAAGGCAAGATTTGAGCGCTGGGTATGGTTGGAAAAACCACGTTGAGCTCATACCTGGATGTTCATGGCCACAAACTGGATGCGTTGAGAGTGGGTGATCAGGCGCTTGAGGGCAGTGGGGACGCGCAGGCCGATGGAGGTGACACCGTAGTAAAAGTACATGATAAAGTGAATGAAAGAGTTCAAGATGACCGTGTAGTAAATGTCACCGTCGTAGGCCACGTTGGCGTTCAACCAGTAAATCTGCGCGCGTTTCCCACGTACATCAGCGCGACAACAAACCACACGAGGGGCACTGCCCAAGGCACACTAAATGAGATGCACGGACCATGAAGATGCTCGAGTGATGGTACACGTGCAGAAAGCTGAGCTGGGTCCACTTGCGGCGAAGGACAATGAAGACCGTGTCGAAAAAGTCAAGAATCTTGCTCATGTAGAAAAGCCAAGTCACCGAGGCCATTTCTATCGTGTGCACCAAGATGAGACGGTGATGTGGCGCGACGAAAACGGGTGGCTGGCCACGAAGTAAGAGTCGATCACCCTGACGCACCCGAGTTGCGGAGCGAGAAGGCGTTGCAAAAGGGCTTGTAGCCCTGCTCCATGTAAACGGTGACGGCACGGTAGATCATAAAGGCACAGAGAGCAACTTGGCTGGCGTTGTAAAGCAACTGTGGCCGATATTATACAGAGGGCGACTGTGAGTCGGTGACCATGACACGAGCAGGCCGGAGGGCGCTACCATGGGCTGACGCTCATGATAGAAAAGGCTACTGACTGACCATAAAAGGCTTGAGGAGGTCACGGCCACCCGAGGGGCTGGGCTTGGAGCCGAAGATCAACTTCATGATCGTGCTGCCGACCAAAACAAAGGCCAAGTAGACAAGCACCAGCACCAAGGCTTCCTACAATGGGTTGCCGGCAAGCCACACGGAAAGGGAGGAGAGAAACGGGTCAGACTGGGGGCACGGAACACACGGGCTACCAGGTATAAGCAAACGGTGACAGAGGAAGTGCATCAGCAACTGACTTCCAATCGCATCATGGGCCAGTTGCGGGGCTCGAGGTTGAGCGAGGTCACATCCGGGTTGAAAAACTGGAAGAGCTGCAGCTCAGACTGGCGGATGGTGGCCGTATCCATCTCAACGCCGACCATGTTGGCCGCCTGAGGCAGATACTGGTCCAGCAGACCACGAAACTGGTTGTAAATCTCCATCTTGAACCTGAGCAAGAACCGGATCAGGACCAATGAGGAAAGAAAGCCCGGAACCGCCCGGATCACTAGATCAGCCGACCGCCGGGGGAATGGCAGACAAGGTCCAAGAATATCACAGAGGTTTAACATGTCTCGCCCCGATAACCACAACCGTCCCGATCCCCCAGTTGCTTGATCCGCGGGTATCATTCCACCCATCGCGATTGCCATCCCCCAGCGCCCGTACCCGGCGGGGGGGGAGCGTGCTTGATGCTCCCCCCGCGCCGCCGTTTGCACTTACGAGAGACGAAGAACTCCTAAAAAATAAAATTCCGTTTTAGAGAGACTGACAGCACGACTCCTCCCGGTCAGAGAGGGGACGCGACGTTGAATCTCCAAGCAGCTTGATAGCTTACCAAAAGCAGAGAATGTTCTGGATGCGGGTCTTGTCAGAGAGCTGGGGCCATTGTCAGAATCACGTGTCAACCTTGCATCGGCACACCGACACGTTGACAGTGGATGCGGTAGTGTGTCGTTGGTTACACTTTAGTGGAAAAGTTGATTCGTTTAAGTTTTTTACTTTTGATGTGAGGCTTGTTAGGTATAGTATTTTACTTTTTTGTAGCCGTCTGTTTTTTTTTTTTTTTTTTTTTTTTTTTTTTTTTTTTTTGATGATTTTTTGGGCAATTTCTGCTTCGGCTCGGCTACGGCAGGGACGTGCTCCTGGCCACCCGCCCTTTTGAAGAAGAAGCAAGTCGAAAGCAGTGTTTCCTCCTAAATGTCTCTGTGTGTGTGTGTGTGTGTGTGTGTGTGTGTGTGTGATTTCAGACGTACAAAAGAATACAGTGTGTCAGGCTCCAGCACGTCTGGAGGCCGTCTTTGGGTTGCGAGGAAGCGCGTAGGTTTGAGGAAGCGTTTTGAGAGAGGTTTGAGAGACGTCCGTCGGAGCGGAGCGAAAGCTTTGGTGGTGTCTTGAGGTCAATTGAACCAGCTGCGGTCGGCAAGCATTCACAGTGACCAGACCAGGTGCACCGTTAGAATAGCTGTAGAGTCGCTCAATCCCGAGGATAGGGAAAGTCACAAGAGAGCAGAGCACACAGGAGAGCAAGGGGAAGACAGAATGGCAGAGGGCTTGACGTACCTGCGGTCGGCAAGCATTCACAGTGACCAGACCAGGTGCACCGTTAGAATAGCTGTAGAGTCGCTCAATCCCGAGGATAGGGAAAGTGCAACTCGTGCCCGACCGCAGGTGTCACAACAAAGGGAAACAACAGTAGCCACAAGCTTATTGCCCCAGGGCAGCTGCCCAGGCATCGTGGGGACCGCGTCACACGCGGTGTTTACTCATGTGACTGCCACGAGGAGGATCAAGCCCAGGGGGTCCAAAAGTAGGTGTCAATGTGTGAGGTCGTCGTAGCTATGGAATACCAATAGGAAGACCCATAGCGACCGATGCTGAGTGTGTGCGAAAGCAGTGGGAGTGTTCAAATGCGTGGAAGCACGGATTTGACGCTAACACCCCCCCTCGCCAGCCGGAGCCCCGATCCGGCGAGGATGGTTCAAAGACAAACGGAAGAAATGGCGAAGGCACGCTGAGAACAAAAAGGG